AATTACTTTGTGCTTGTGTATTAGCTATTATATTTTTCTGCCACAATAATAAAACATTGCCTTTATTCTGATCTCTTTCTTATAATTTTTTTAATTCCTGCTTGCAGTTCAGAGTTCCTCGGAGTATGATTAGATCATTAGTATTTCTTGCCAACTTCTAGTTTCAGCTGGCATGGAAAAAGCAAGCAGAAGTCCATGCCAACTCTCATATTAGTTGTGCTGTAAGAATCATTCAGAAGACAGAAAACTACTCAGAAAAGTCACAAAGTCAGGCAATATGAAAAGGTAAAATGCTAGGCCTCCATGAATTATACTGAAGACAAATTGTCCCATTCACTGCTTTCAGTGAATGTGAATTGCATGTATCATGTCAAACTGAATGTTCATTTGGCAGTCTCTCTCTGCAGTAATCAGTAGGAGAAGCTGAGGCAGGGGTACAGGAAAATAAGGAAATATGGTGGTATATCTTCAGCTGTGGCTTCAGGAATTCTAGATAGCAATAATTGAAGTTTCCCACTAAGCTGTTGCCTCCCTGTTTAGAGTGATCCAAAATTTTACCGTCAGCACCTTGCTGTAATTGTAAGAGCTATGCTTGAGCTAAGCGATTATTTCTGTTTTGTGTCTTCAGTGCAAACTTGTAAGTGTCATAGTTCTTTATGTGAGAAGTGGTACCATTCCTATCAATTTTTCTTAGGCGCTCACTTACTCTGACTCCACTGATCTTGGGGTTGGCCATCTTTGTATTAGTCCCTTTTTCCCTAGTTATCTGTTTGTTTAATGATCCAGATGTGTAATCGTTGTCTAGACTTGGTTAGTACCTTTGCACCAACCACATGATGGTTGATGACAAACAACATGACCTGGCCACATGTACTCCCAGCCCAGAAAGCCAGTGGGATCCTGAGCTGCATCCAAAGCAGTGTGGCCAGCAGGGCCAGGGAGGGGATCCTGCCTCTGTGCTCCACTCTGGTGACATCCCATCTGGAGTGCCAGTTCTGGTGCCCCCAACATGGCAAGGACATGGAACTGTTGAAGCAAGTCCAGAGGAGGACATGAAGTTGGTAAGAGGTACAAAGACAGGCTGAGAAAGTTGGGGCTGCTCACTCTAGAGAAGGGAATGCTGCATGGAGACCTTATAGCAGCCTTCCACAATCTGGAGGCCTACAGGGACGTGAGAGAGCAACCCCTCAGGGATTGTATTGATAGAACAAGGAGTAATGGGTACAAACTGAAAGAGGAAAAACTTAGTCTAGGCATTAGGAAGAAATTCTTTCCTGTGAGGGTGGTGAAATACTGGAACTCGTTGTCCAGGGGGATTGTGGATATCCCAGGCCTTACACTGTTAAAGATAATACTTTGAGCAACTTGATCTAGTGGAAGGTATCCCTGCCCATGGCAGAGTTGTTGGAACTAGATATTTAATGTCCCTACCAACCTTTAGCATTCTATAACTCTATGTTATCAGTTTCAGATGGGAGGATACTGACAAGGTGCTTGGCCACAGTCTTCAAGATGCTGGTGCATCTTGTGCTATGGACACAACCATGTAATGAGGCTTCTGATTCTCTCTAGACTTGTCCTCATGCTATTTGCTTTTCTTTTCATCACTACTGAACCTCCATGTGACACCTACACAGAATTGCACACTGTGTGCACTAGGTTCTCTTTCCAGAGTCCAAATAACTTGCACAGTCTGCCATTCTTCAGATAGAGCTAGTATTGTGTTCCTTACATGTACTTTGCATTTATCTACACAGAATTTAGTCTGGTATTTTATTACCTCGCCATTCAAAATCATGAAAACTTCTGTAGGAAGGTTTACTCTTACTATGCTGAATAATTTTAATTTATAGTCAATAAATCTTACCGCTTCCCAAACCCACCTCCTTTGCAAGGTAATTTATGACTGCATTTTTCAATTTAGACTCTCACACAAATCTATTTTACAGGAAATTTAATCATCCTTCCCTTTGCCTCCTGGGCTTGACCACCTTGCTGAGAAATTTCAAAGCATATTTAGGATCAAATTGAATTGCTTTCATTTAGATGTTAATAAGCTGAATTGTAAAAAGAATTTTTTTTCTTGCAACATTGAGAACAAATTTCTGCACCAAGATTAAAACAGGCTATCTTCAGGAAGTATTGATGCTTTCAGTGTCACATTAGTTCTGTTTTCTCCAAACTGGGATCTATTAAAAGTTTTCAGTTACATAACTGAAAATGGATTAGTAGAGTTTTGCATATATGTGATAGTACTGCATTACAGAGTTGATTGAATTTTTTTCATTGCTACTTTTAATCTGTTGTTGATTATCAAAAGCAAAATCCTTATTATAATGGAGTGATTTCAGTGGAGCATATCAAATAAACCCAGGCATCTGAAAATGGAATGTGCAAAAAATGCAGTATTTATGTCAACAGAATATTTCTGTTAAATAAGTACTGCTAATGAATCTTCTGTAAAGCTGATTTTGTAATAAGTCAAGGGCTACAGAAGAATTTGCACAGTTGGAGGACAGCATTTAGCTTTTCAGCAATAATATGTCATTTGTTTCAAATCTTTTAAGTAAAACACATTTTGCTACTTTACATAAAACTTTTATGTACTTAACTATGAAAAATTATGTACTTTAAATGTAATGTGTAAGGCATTAATGGTTGTAAATGTGTAAAGTTAATGGTTGTTTCATTTATACTCATAATTTCATTTATACTCATATAGCATTCTTCATTAGACAACTTAGAAAAGAAAGCCAGCCAAACCATCTCCTCTTCTTTCATTTTCAACGTTATACATTTTATTTTCCTTTAAGAAGACTTTACTATGAAATTCTAGATGTAAAAATCATGCCTTCAGCTTTTTACAGAAAAAGTGGACAATACAAAAGCATAGTTACCTTGCAAAGTTCACAGCATACAACTTTAGGTAAAACAAACCAGGAAGGAAGTGTAACTTTTAAGTGGAGAGCTGGAAATCTAGCCAGATCATCTGTTCTTTTTCCATTATTCAAAATGTAAATTGTAGAGAGAGAGGAGGAAAGCTGTTTTTCCAAAGAGCAAATATCATCACCCAGCTCTTTCCTAGACACTGTTTTCCCTTTCAATCTCTAATCCATCTGTCCTGCCAGCGACCATATCTAGTCCACAAGACAGCCATATTTCAGTTTTTCCAGGACTGCTAATTAAAATACTAACAGGCCTGATGATGTTGGTTCCTGTTATCTGTGATTAAAAAGAAATCACTTAAACCCTCTTATCCCTGGTTCATCTCATCTCATCTCATGTAACAAGCAAAACACCCACATTTAAAGACAGAACAAATGTTCTCAGCTTTTGGAAGGAATTCTGTGAATAAGGTGTATATGAGTCATGTTGTAACTTTGTATTTTTTTTACATTCATCTTCACTTTAATGTAATAGAGGTACCTGCTTTATTAGAGGATAATTTAACATAGTTTAAGGTATTTCTCAGAATGGGTCTGTTGCTTTTCTGCATGTGACTAACCTCAAAAATTTTAATCTGTGTCATAACAGCAATTGTGTTTGCTCAAGCAGAGGCATTTAGACTCTGAATGAGATGGGAGGGGCATTCTAAAAGTTTTATATTGAAATTCTGTTTTTCTAAATGCAACAGTGTTATACAGTTATATGTTAATAGTTTTGTACATGCTAATGAACATGTACATACTAATGAATTTTACATAGCTTTCATGATTCTTAGCTTTGTTAGGTGTTATTTTACATTTATTGTCCTATTCTTAATGCAGCTTCCAGTAGCAAAACTTCTGTTCTTGAAAGAATTGAAGTAAAATGAGCTAAATGTTTTGAGTCTGATATACTGTGCAATCAGAATTTGATTTCTTCAGTGTATAAAAGACAAACTTCAATACCCATCTCAGGATCTGATTACAGCTCAAATTTGCAGCACATTCTTGAGCAACATTTTTTATCTAATTAGCATATTTTCCTTATGTATTAATTACAGACCAATCTCTTTGCAAATTAAAAAAGCCCAGTCTTTTCTCCTTTATATGCTAGTCATAATAATTCTCTGGTGTTAGTAGATGTTGGCAAAGAGCAGCAGGTTTTAAATATATTTATGATGTCAATATTTTGCTAGTCCATATAATTTCCCATTTAAGAATAAATTCTCATCTCATTAATAATGAGTTGTCTTCTAGGGTGGAAACTGAGTCAAAGATAGTTTTATGATTTGCTTATAGTTCTGTTGTCAGCACAGAAAGTATAAAGGCCAGATAATTTGGATCCTAGACCTGCCAGCCATAAAACGTACCTCTTCACTATATCACAGTTGCTAATTTGACAGAAGTAGAATGTCTTTTCTTGCTACTGAAATAAACTGGAAATCACTATCACAATCAATTGCTTAACTGACATACTCTATTATATGTGTACCTTACAAAATGTATATTCAAATTGTTCTCTTTCAATTATGAAATCCTCTGTCAACATGAAAAAAAAGTTTTATTAAAGCCATTCAGTTTTTGAATATCAAGCAGCGCTAACTTTTTTTATATATCAGTACAATCAGCTTTGTGCTCCATAAACACAAATACAGGGTGCTTTTTAAAAAATTGTGAATTTTGCTAACTTTTCATTATGGATCTGTGCTAATTGGGGTTTAGATTGAAGTGAAGTCAGTGGCTTGCGAATAGCACCTATGAACTGAGAAATATTGCCAACAGACCTATGCCTAAGCATTTCCCTTAGTTCTGCAGTTGGGTGAAGATAAACCCAAGATAGCTGACCTTCTCTTTAGACAGGGGACAGAGATTTGCTTACTGTGGACACTACTGAAACTCAGACCAAAGCAATGTAACTATTTTCTACTGAATGCCTTAAAATTCTATGCCTAAAAATAACATGATCTATAAGAATTGGAAATTATACAAGTAACAATGTGTATCCTTTTTTTTGTGTAGAAGAATTTCAACTTAATGTCTCTTTCCCCCTACACCTCTCTCTCTCTCTTTTTCTAGATGCAGCAATTGTTCCATGAAAACTATGAACACAACCGCAAGGGTTACATTCAAGATCTTCACAACAGCAAGATCCACACAGCCATAACACTTCATCCAAACAAAAGACCAGCCTACCAATACAGGCTGCACAATTACATACTGAGTCGCAAAATTTCCGAACTGCGCCATCGGACCATCCAGCTCCATCGAGAAAGCGTTCTGATGAGCAAGCTCAGTAACACTGAAGTAAATAAGGAAGATCAGCAACTGGGAGTGGTGCCGTCTTTCAATAATTTCCAGCCACGTGAAAGGGATGAAGTCATCGAATGGGAGTTCCTGACTGGAAAGTTTCTTTACTCAATGGTGGACAACCAGCCACCCCGGCAGAGCCTGAGCAGCGTCCTGCGGGCTGCGCTGGATGATACTGTGATGCAGGTCATGGAAATGATAAATGAGAACTCCAGATCTAGAGGAAGGCTCATTGATTTCAAGGAAATACAGTATGGGTACCGCAGGGTAGACCCTCTGCATGGAGTAGAGTACATCCTGGATTTACTGCTTTTGTACAAAAGGCACAAAGGAAGGAAAGTTACAGTTCCAGTGAGACGCCATGCTTACCTTCAGCAATTGTTTAGCAAACCTTTCTTCAAAGAAGCAGAGGAGCTGGATGTAAAAAGCTTGCTGGAGGACACCAACACTGACACTCAATCTTTCTCTTTCCTTTCAAATTCTTTAAAGATTTTTTCCTCATCGTTCCAAGGCACCAAAGACGTTGGGAGACACAGTGACAAGAAAATACATATTCTTGTCCCTATCACGGGAAGATTTGATACTTTCTCAAGATTCATGGATAATTTTGAGAAGACTTGTCTGATTCCCAAGCAGAATGTAAAGTTGGCAATAATTCTCTTCGGTTCTGAATCGGGCCAAGACTCTAGCAAACACGTAGAACTAATGAAAGAATACAGCATTAAGTATCCCAAGGCAGATATGACCCTGATTCCAATGTCAGGAAAGTTTTCTAGAGGTTTAGGTCTTGAGATGGCCTCGTCTCAGTTTGACAATGACACTTTGCTGCTGTTCTGTGATGTTGATCTGGTATTTACATCAGACTTCCTCCAGCGATGCAGAGATAACACTATTCAGGGAGAACAGGTTTACTACCCTATCATATTCAGCCAGTATGATCCAAAAGTAATATATGGAGGCAACCCTCCCCCTGACAGTAGTTTTGTTTTCACAAAAAGAACTGGATTTTGGAGGGAGTATGGATTTGGAATTACCTGTATTTACAAAAGCGATCTACTTACTGCTGGTGGATTTGATACCTCGATTCAAGGCTGGGGACTTGAGGATGTAGATCTCTTTACTAAAGTGATAACATCTGGCTTGAAGGCTTTCAGAAGTCAGGAAGTAGGAGTTGTCCATATTTTTCATCCTGTTCAGTGTGACCCAAATTTAGATCCAAAACAATATAAAATGTGCTTAGGGTCCAAAGCAAGTACATTTGCCTCTACCATGCAGCTCGCTGGACTCTGGCTACAGAAACATTTGGGTGTCAGATACAATTGGACTCTCTCCTGACAACTCAGCCTATTTGGCCTTTTTAGGGGAGTTTACCTCATTGCTATTATTTGATTTTGCTGTTGTAGTTTTAAACTCCCTCCTCGTAGTCTTCCAAAGACTGTTGACCTCAAATGGGATGACTCTGCTGTTCACTGATGTTTCTTATACCTACTGAACTGGTGAGGTGAATTTCTTCATATTTCCTTTATTTGAAATTCAGTCTAGTCATGGAAATCATACAAGCCCATGGAGCATATTCATCACAAGAGACTGTATTAGAAGAATGTTGTCTTTCAGCTTTTGGATTCAGTATCATCTTTGTTGCATTTCTCAGATTTGATGTGATACAAATATTTACTGGTGAAGGTACCACAAAAGTGCTTTATGCTTCTTCTGGGGATGGAACTCTCTAAGATAAACTTGAGTTTTATAATTTATATGAGGACTTATATGTATAAACGCTACTTTTCTTCATCTTTAGAATTTTTAAAGTAAATGAATAACTATAATTGTACCTTTATTTTTTAAAATAAGAGTAAAGCTGAGGAGCTACTTGCAAATACAACTGGTACTGGCTACCAAGGTCCTTAAATGTCTTATTATTAAAACAAACTCCTCACTGTTATTCAGTCAAAGTGTAAATGAACTTTATTTTCACAACAAAAAGGATTTAATCAAATGCTCATATACACTTTGAAGATTTTTGAGCCAACATCCTTCATTTGCAGGCAAGAAGAAACTATGACTCAACATGGTCATTTAATATAAAGTGCAAGCATACAGTGTTCTTACTTTGAAACACATACTATAAGTTGCTCTTTCTCTTTTTAGAATGAGTCTCTAATGCATAATTTTCTTTTCAATTCCTTTCATAAGGCTGCACTTCAGTGTTAAAAGTTAAAGCTCTATTTTTTGTTCTACATTTTTCATGAATAATGGTACTTGGTAGCAACTTGTTGTTAAAATTAAAGTAACTGTAGAATAGTTATTTAAGTTTCAAATTTACTATTGCTGGTCAAAGTTCCTTGCCAATATATTTATATTAGTGGAGGTTATAAGACTGTGTTCAGATTTATCTCTCCAAACAGCCTGAAGCTGTCATATTGTGGATTCATGAAGCATTTAAAGTAATACAAACAGGAGAAATAATAAAATAAATTTCTGTATTTGAAAAAAACATTTATATAGGGATATATATGTGTGTGTGTGTGCGTGTGTGTATATCCCTATATATATATAGATATATAGAAAGAGTAATTTCAAAGTATATTCCACTTTTTATTTCAGGCAGTGATTTGTTACAATGGTCATTATTTTTTGCCACATGCTTGGAACATTTCATGTTATACTGTGGTAAGAGCTTAGAGACATTCAGGAAACCATCAGAATTCAGCTAAACTTATTTCAGTGGGTACATCTAGTAACCTCAGTACCCTTGATTTCAAATTATATTTCAAACAGAGCTGGGCAAGAAAAAGTTCTGGTTTTCAGCTGTAACTGACAGCTTCTGTGTTTCCTTAAAAAAAAAAAAAATCCAAAAAACAAACCTAACCAAAACCCCCCCCCCCCAAAACAAATAAGAGATTGGACTTCACTGGCACATCTGTTTGTGTGAGGATAGCCAGATAATTTCCTAAGCCATGAAGAGAATATGTAGGTCAGTTAATGTCTTTTATCTGTGGCTCTCTGTTCTGGACTTACCGTGCAAAGAAAAAGGAAACCCTGACAAGGATTGAGTTAACTCAGAATTAAAGGGCTGGCCATAGTTTGTTGTATGCTTTAAAAAAGGCCATTCCCTTGCCCTGGATAAGGTAGCAATTGTGGTAGATGACAACAGAGAGTGTAATTCATGTTTGTATTAGCCCTCCTCAAGCAGAGCTCTTGTCTTATTATTTTACTGGAGGCTCTTGCCTTCCTAGCCCAGTATTGTTAGCTCAAATGTCTGATAAAAGAAAAATTCAGTATCACTTATAATATAATTCTTGGAAATTGCTCTTCAAATTGAGTGATGAAATAACACTTTGTTCATTAAAATGTGAAGAACAAGGAACGTGATATATTTTAAAAATCTCAACCAATATGACTGTAAATATCAAAAACTGATTGCCTGTTGATAAATGGTTGTGATGATTTAGTAAACAAGAAAAAACCTAATGACTGACAAAGACATCTAAGGAAATCATTGTCTACTGGGATGTATTCCAGTGGTTATTTCAATTACTTAGTGGCCAGAAAGTATTTGCTCAGCTCTAAGTAAAATAGTAGATTAGAACAAGCAATGAAACCAATCATTCAGTGGGGATAAAGATGTATACAGAGGGCTTGCAGGATCAGGTCCTACATGATATAAGCAAAATGCTAGTATTTACCAGTACAAATATTTATTTAGTGTCTTGACTGATTCATTTGTTTATATGATGAATTACTTTGTTAAAAACCTGATTATAAATGTTTATTATGAACTATTGCATTTTCTTTTGAAATAACTATCCTGAGATAACTTGAGAAATTGTGTTAGTTTGTCTGAGGAATAATATGCCTTCTAAGGAGATCATATTAAAAGGAAAAAAAAAAAAGCACAAAAGTGTTAGAGTAATGTTATGTATGTATAGATTAAGATGGGAATATCTGTGTTAATCAACTGTTTGTTTTTGTCTAATCTGAATCATAATCTTTATTGTAAAAAGAAATTTCTATGTGTATCATGTCCCTTTGTAAATGTGTGACAAATTAATTCACAATAGAATATAAATACCAATTTTTCCCCAAACCTCCTTCCCCTGGGAATAGTTTTCCTAGCAGGCTTCATTGCTGGGAAGTGGGTTGTGAACAGTTTGCATTCTGGCTTTTTAGACACAGCCATTCTTTTTAAAAAAAAAAAAATCAGCATTCACTACTCAGAAGACTCAGAAATCCCCAAACCACTGCATCATGGCTGGTTTTTCCAGTCACAGTGCTTAATTTAACAGAGCATGAAGGAAAAACATCATGTTGGGCTTTCTAAGATTTGATGAGCAAACATCAAGGTTCTCAAACTGAAGAAAGGCAGAAGGCCAGGGGGAGATGTGGGGCTCAACCACAGGAGTTGGCACCTTCTCATCCCTGTACTGCCCCCTGTGCTGCCTGCTGCTTATGATTTGGCAGCTCCAGCAAGCACAGAGGAGTTGTGCTTGCTGCCACCAGCTGCTCTTGAGAAGCAAAAAGGCCATTTTAATCAGGGAGCAATGAAAGGAGGGTCCCGAACTGAGGATTCATTGAGGGGGTGGCAGGTTGTCTTGTTCAGATCATGTTTCTCACTGTCCCCAGGGGAACAGAGAGCCTGGTCCCACAACTCTTCCCTGTTTGCTCTCAAGAGACATTGAAGGAAGGGGAAAAACTCCATGGGGCTCATGGGCTTGCATCATGTACTTGGGTCCTACTGTATCATGGGAAAAGAGGGGAAAAGGTGCCACGTGATCTTCCTAAAAAGCAGTACAGAGCAGTACAGAGCAGCAAAAAGAGAGGCACCATCTGTACTCACCAAAGACCAGGTGTGCACAAAACTGCCTTCTTGATAGTGCCTCAGAATTCTTGCAAAAAATTACAGTGCTGATAAAATGACTCCTAGGAGTGTGCTGCATATCCTCAGTAACTGTGGGTACTTGCAAGCAGAATGAGTTAAAAAAAACATTTTTTTAAACAGGCAAATAAACAATTTAAACTCCTTTTGATGTCTTAAATAATCACTACAATTCTTAAGATGTAGTTTGCTACATCAAACATTTTGCTCCAAAGAATGATGCCAGCTTTAAGATGCAAAAACCCCTACATGTGTAGTCTCTATGTCATTTTCCTGCAACTTAAAATCAGTTAAAATTTACAGAAATAAGCAGGGAGTAGAAATTGGTGAGTCACTGACTGGGGCAAACGTTTATGTTTCTGCTGTATTTTTAAAAGAGGATCAAATCAGGAGAAAAAAAGAATGCTGAGTAAGATACAGACAAAAATCAGCTATGATGTTTAGTAGCTGTGATAATTGTGGTCCTAAACTGCATCAGAATAAGATGTTTCACTAAGTTTTAACTGTTTGCGATAACTGAAGGTTATCGTCTGTTGTACATCTTTAAGTAACATGTGTAATCCATTTTTAATTCATTAATTTCTTAGAATAATTTTTAGTTTCTTCCATCAGCATTTATTCACTTGATTAATAAGATTACATGTCACGACTAAGTCTCAATTTCCTATTTTTCTTTTTCTTGGGTCTTCCCATTTGCAGTATGGACTGCAAACGGGAAACCAGTACTACAGAATGAAACATTTTCAGCTAGCATGATATTTCTGTTACATTTTTATGATTTCACTGCCATGCAAAACTGCCGAACTAGAATATTTTACTGAATGAGTTTCCAGCCTACTTCAAATTGTTTCCATTTGCATGTCACTATAAGTTAAAAGTGTTCTGAATAATATTACTTCATTTCTTCCTCTGGTCTCCTTCATACCAGAATCACACCAAAGCAAGGAAGTGCAAAAACTTTATAATGCTTACATCTAGAATTTTTTTTCTTTCAAGTCTTTTATCTCAAATTTCAGAACATATTAGTTCTATGATTTTAATAAAAGAAATAGTTATTAAGATGTAAGGCAGTGCATATATTAACTTCACCCTACAAACTGTCATTTTACATCTATATTTTCTAGTCACCTTGTTATTAAACAGATGTTTGCTATTTATAGAAACTTTGAAAATTTTAATTAAAATTAAAAACATTATAAATAAATTGAAAGCATCCTTGCTAGTTCGGTGTTTACCTAGTCTTAGTGGAGAGTTTAATCATGTAGGCAGAGATTGAAGGATGTACTATATACTGTAGGCTGCTGCTTTTTATTTCTTTTGTAGGGCTGGAGGGAAAATCTCTCCAGCTCTGGATCACATGCCTGCAGTGTGATAGTATTCTTCACAAATCAGCCATGTCTAGCAATGATTTTAAGTGACTGCAAAGCTTCAAAAAGCAGGCAAGATTTACTGGATTTATCTAAACCTGTGAGAGACTGATATTCAGATTCAGAGGCTGGTGACATAATCAGGTGTAAGACAAGTGCATTAAATACATCTGCTGCTGCAACATCTGGGCACACCCACTGTAAGCACCCCTTTAAATAGGATGCCTCAGGAATGTAGTAGGTTCAATGAAGATATTGTTAAAAAACACGTACTCTAGCTAACATTGGTGCCATTAGAGCAGGTAAATTGCCTTTAGGTGATTTCTGTAAAAAAAACATAATTAAAAAATGCTTGTGCTTGAAATTATTAACACTGTTACTACTGGTTATTTGGGAAGCCTTCATGACTTGATCTCATTCTTGATTAAGGTAAAATGGAGCAATAAACGATGCTTATTTTTCACATCTGTTCATACACTTTTGGCTCAAGAACAGAAAAACTGACTAACTGCTCTGAAGATGGTGGCCGAACCACAAGTTACCAGAGTCTACTACACTGTTCAGTGTAGTTCAACTTTGAAACCAAAACTGAGACCTGGTACCAGGTAAGGAAAATTTCAGCATATGAAGTAGAAGTTTGAGTTTGTGCAAGGCATCATGGTATCTGGGGATCCACCTTAATGCTTAGTGAATGATTGCTAGGAGCAGACATCGTGCAGTCTGAATACAGTGCTACCAGCACTTGAAGAAAAAAGTGAGTAATGCAGTAAAAAATGTTTCACAGGTGACAGAATAGATAGTAAGGATGTAGATCCAGAGCGGTGTGGATAAAGAAAGATAAAACATCTTTTAAAGAAGAACTCTGGTTTACTTTCTTCCTGATAGCTTTTCCCCTTGTACATTCCTCTTGAACATGCAGAGACCAATGCTGGGACAGTCTGTAGCAATATCAAAACTATATACCTCCCACACCTGATTTGTTCTGACCATGTTTTTTGAAGTGATAACTGAGCTGGCAGTTTTTAGTTCCTCCTCTACTCTTTTTAGATATCACACACTTTATTATTATTTAACTAAGTGGGACCTTTGACAGCTTTGTGCCTAAGATGGTTTAGTTTTCCATTGTATCTTCATATATTGCACTGTTACGTGGCACATCACTGCTTTAAATTATGAAGTTCCTTTAAACAAAGGGTTCTGTCCAGCAGTTTTCAGCAGCTGTAACCTTGCAACCACAGCTGTTTGCAAGATTACAAATAAAACCTGTTTATTTGTTGTATTCATACAATAGTTTTGTTTGGGAGAAAATTCAGAAAGAATATGAGTTACAATTAAATGTTTTATTGACAAAGTAGAGAAAATCTGTTTAACTGGGGCCAAGCAATGAGCCATTCCTCCAACATGTGCTTTTACTGGAGGACATCCAGAAACAACAGGTGTATTTAACTAAAAAGGTTATAGGGTAATGTCTCCAGTAAAACTGAGTGGTAAACACTGTTCTGCACTTCAGAACAGCTGGTATCAGAAGATTTATGCCTGTAAAAATATATCAGTCATAACTTCTGCCACAGTCAACCAATGTTTAAGGGACAGACACAAAGGCAGATCCGTTGATCATGCCCTCGTGTGTGGAAGTGACCAGGGAGATCAAGATTTATCCTGGAACACATTTAGAAAAGAGTCCACTCTGAAAGAAACATGGATGTGGACAAAGAAGGGAGCATACAAAAAACCAAAGAGAAGATTCTCTTTCCTCCTTTTCTTTTAGGCTTGACATGGTGCTGTGCTCATCAGGGAGCTACCACATCTTCCTGGATTGATCTTGGCACCAGGCAAAAGAAACGCTAAAAAGGAAGTATGAATGAATGGTCTTTATATGACAGGACCAGATACTGGTGGGTGATGGGAAAGAAAGTGTGTGGGAAAACATATAAGGACTCAAGAAAATTAATTATTTTTTCATGTGGAGAAGAAACATAGTGTGTTTGTAAGCAATTTTACTAGCCCTTATATGTAGAGGCAAAAGGGAGTAATTAAAGGACATAGATTTGAAGGGAAGGAGAAGATACACTATAGTGTATATTGTATAAAGTATATAGTGTATAAAGTGCAGGAAACAGAGTACATGTCTAAACATAAAATTTAACTACTGTAGAAAAAATATATGTGAAAGAATAGCACAAGAAATAGAAGGAAAGAAACTGCAGGAAAAAAGGAAGAATTGAAAAAGATTTAATGAAAAGCAATTGAAGTTCTAGCATAGATGCAATTTATGCCCTAGATACAGGATAATTCATAGTGCCATACAAGAAACAAGGGAAATATGTTATGAAAAGCATTTCTGTAGCACTGTATCCCACTGCTTTACCTGGGTGCAGCTGAGGGACCAAATGCCAAGCTAATACTAAAATATTCTTTTGTTTGCTTTTTATCAGAGCCAAAAATACCTGCATTTGTTTTCCTCTTGGTTTTCCCCCACCCTGCATGGTAAATATCTAGTCAGATACTGTGTTACTGAGATTTTGTGTTTTTGAATTCAGCAAAAAATATGGGGAATGTCTTTAATAAACAAAATGGCAGTACCAATGCTATCACACATCTGAATATAATCTTTTTTTTTGTTAAAATGCCCTCCAATTAAAAAAAGTTGGCATTCAGCAGGAACTTCTGCAGTCTTGCTCCATCTTTCGTTCCCTCACACTTTCAATGTCTAACTTCTGCTGTACTTAGGAATTGATAACAAATTTAGGGAACTAAGGAAATTTATCTCCTTTCACAATCTTTCTTGTTTATTCATACAAATATGAATTAGAGTTAGGCACTGTAAAGATATCACTGATGTGTAAAATTGCTGGACTACACTGTTTTGTTGCATTAGTTCCCAGCTCTGTTGCAAGCCATTTGCCTGTCGCTCTCTTTAAATCCTGAATTTTATTACCACTTCCCTCATCCCCTTCTTATGACATCTTGAGTTTATTATCAGGAACAGAAACACAAAACCTTACCAGATTTAAAATACATCTCCAAAATTAGGTCTGAAGTATACAGGACTCACTGATTCAGCAGATATTAAAGGGCTCGGTGACACAAGAAGGCAAAAGTCTTGGAAAATGAGAGAGAAAACATTGAAGAAGAGGAAGGGTACTTAGCTCGATAGACATTCCATTTTATGGAATCATGCACAGACACAGAATGGCTGAGATGGAGAGGGAGCTCTGAAGATCACAGAATCATGGAACAGTCTGTCTTGAAAGTGAGCTTTAAAGGTCATCTAGTCCAACTCCCTGCTATGACCAGGGGCATCATCAACTAGATCAGAATCCCATTCAACCTGACCTTAAATGTTCTCAGGGATGGGGCATCTCTCACCACCCTGGGCAACCAGGGAAATTACCAGTTTCAGTAATTTACCAATTTCATTGAAACAAAACCTTCATCCTTATGTCTTAATGTAAGTCAACTTCCTAATAGTTTAAAACCATTATCCCTCATTCTGTTGCAACAGAACTGGCAAAAATAATTGTCCCTGGCTTTCTTCTAGTCCCCCTTGAGGTAGTGAAATACTTCTGTAAGGTCTTCATGGAGCTGGGGCATTCTCCTGCAGGATGAACAACCCCAACTCTCTCATAAAGAGGCTGTCCTCATAGAGGAGGTGCTCCAGCCCTCTGAATGTGTCTGGACCACCTCCCGCTCCAGCAGTTCCATGTCCTTCCTGTGCTGAGTCTCCAGAGCTGGATGCAGGGTTCCAGGTGGGCTCTCACCAGAGCAGAGCAGAGCAGAGGGACAGAATCCCCTCCCTGCCCTGCTGCCCACACTGCTTTGGATGCAGCCCAGGACACGTTTGGCTCTCTGGGCTGGGAGTGCCCATGGCTGGGTCATGTCCAGCCTCTCACCCACCAGCACCCCCAGGGCCTTCTCACAGGGCTGCTTTTGACCTGTTCATTCCCCAGCCTGTGTTAGTACTGGGATTTTCCCCAGCTCAGTTGCAGCACCCTTTACTTGGTCTTGTTAAACCTCAGAAGATTCCCACAGGCCCAGTCGAGCTTGTCCCAGTTCCTCTGGATGGAATCCCATTCTTCAGGTGTGTTAACACCACCCCTCAGCTTGGTGTCATCTGCAGACTTGCTGAGGGTGCACTTAATCCCTCCATCTGTGTCATTAATGAAGACAATAAATAGCACTGGTCCCAGTATGGATCCCTGAGAGACACCACTTGTCGCTGATCCCCATCAGGACACTGAGCCGTTGACCGCTACCCTCTGGATGGCACCATCTAACCAATTTCTCAGCCACAAAACTGTCCACCCATCCAATCCAATTTACAACGAAGGATGTTGTGGTGGACCATGTAAAATTCTTTACAGAA